GAAATGGTATGGAGATGGAGAATATGGATTTTGCAGGATTTATAAGTATCTCACACATCTTATCCCTAATAGGTAAGTGCCTCATTACTTGTATCTACTTATTTTATTTACCAAACACTTATATGTCACTTATATTCATTAAATTGGACCTGTAACAGTCCCATGAAGTAGGTATTTGCATTACTTCCATTTTACCAATTGGGCGACACAGAGAAGTTAAGCAATTAACCTACAGTCACACAGCTTATAAGTAGCAGAGCCAAGGATTCAAACCCAGGCAGTCTGACTCCAGAGTTTATGTTCTTAACCAAAATACTATGCTGCGTTTCTAAGCTTGAAGGTGGGAGAAAAAGTAATATTTTTTAATGCTATGGCTTGATCTAGAAGAACCTCAACAAGATTTGGACAATTATTTATGCAAACTCATAAATGTAAATGCTAGCTAAAACTGTCATAACATTTATAGTTATCCATTTCCATTATGGCTGATGGCTAATTCATTCAGATTTTTAGGCAATAGGGATACAAAGATGAATTAGACATGGTTCCTGCTTTCAAGAAACACATAGCCTAGAGGAGGAATAAAATAAGGATATCAAATGGTTTAATAGAGAGTGATAAGTACTTGGATAGCAGTATATATAGGATATTATGTGAGCACAGACATTGGACATTTAAATCAGTGTACCAGAGAAGGCTTCCCTGCAGAGGTGTTATTTGTTTGGGTCTTGAAGGATGAATAGAACTTAGAAATATAGGAAATGGAAGAACAACATGGTAGAGGAAACAGCAAGAGCCAAGCAACGAGAGGATACAACACATTGGAGGTACTGTTCATTAGGTGCCACAGTCCATTAGGACTGGGGTATCAAGTATACATGAGGAAGGAGCAGATGGGGTTAAACACTTAGAGGCCAAACTATGATTCGCACATGATGTATCAAGGAGCTTGACCCTTTGTCCTGAAAGCAGTAGGGATAGATTGAAGCTTTCATCAGGGAGAGGTGTGTGTGTGTGTGTGTGTGTGTGTGTGTGTGTGTGTGTGTGTTTTCTTGAGAAAATAAGTCAGACAAATGTGAAGGATAGAATGGAAGATAGGATGGATCAAATGTATAGACATATTTTGAAAACTATGGCAATAATCCAGGCATCAAATGATGGAACCCTAAACCGAGGCAGTAGCAATGTGAATGGTAAGAGAAGAAAAACTGAGAAGATATGTAGGATGTTGCATATACAAGATAAAGTGATTGTGTATGTTTAGGGAGGGGATAAGAAGGAGTTTTCCAGAAGAGTGGTGACCAAATCCTGTTTTGGGGAATAGCTGCATTAGAATAGCTTTAAAAAACAGATTCCGCACCTTCAGCTCCATAAATTCTGACTTAGCAGGACTGGGGTGACAACTGGAAATCTGGATTCCTTAGAAGTTTCTGAATTCATTTGTCATTGAGAAGGATTGAGAACCATTACAATGCCTAAGTTTATGGGCTGGGTGCCTAAGAGATAACTATGTGATAATAAAGGTTGGAAGAGACTTTTGACTGAAGAAGAGGAAAGGTGTGGACAAGTTTGCTTTTAGATTAATTTGGGTTACCTGTAGGAAATCTGGGTTGAGCTAGGAACATAGGTTTGGAACTCGAAAGAGAGATTTTCGTGTGAAAGTAGATGGTGGTAGATGAAGCCAGGAGTTTGGGTGGTCATCCTGAAGAAAATATGGAATAATGAAAAAGATGGCCTGAGCCCTTAGAAACATTAGTATTTAAGGAGTGATCTGAGGAAGAAGGAATCTTCAGAGAGAGTAAGAAGATGTGACTGTTGTCATAGAAACCAAGGGAGGGCAGACTTTCCATAGAAAGGAGTGGCTAACATTAACAAGAGTTGTAGACATTCAAATAAGGTAAATAGGAGCAGAAAAGTGCCCACTTATTTATAAGATGGTGACCCTGGTGACCAGAGCAGATATAGTATAGAAGGAAGCCAAATGATGGTAAATTAAGAAGGAAAAGAGATGTAAGTATAGATGAGCATTTTAAGAAATTTGTCACTAAGGGAAGGTGAGAGAGAATAACAGCTAGTAGGATTAGGAGAAGAATTTTTTTTTTTTAAACCAGAAGAGGTGTGGGCATGCTAAGGAGAAGCAACTGGTAAAGAAAAGAGAATGACAGATACTAGAGAGAGGCTACACCAATGGAAATAATTCTTTTAGGACAGAGGTAATAGAGTCTAGAGTACACTGGGAGGGGTTAACTTTGAAAAAGAGAGACAACAATTCCATTAAAATTAAAATACAAGTGAGATGGGAATGGACACAGATAAGATTTTGGCATGAGAGAGAGAAGTTGAAGTTCTTACTTGATGGTCTCTGTTTTCTTAGTGATACAGGAGAGCCCATCTGCCTTGCCCAGGAAGGTAATATCTATCAGGTCCAACTTCCTCAGTAAATTTGATGGAGTACCTAGCACCATATCTCTCTTGTAATACAGTTAGGTAGCCAAATGAAGAAATGAACAAATAAATGTATGCCATCAAATGATAATATATGCTCACAGAAATAGAATTCATGAAGTAGAATATGTGCCCATAGAAAAAGAAGTATGAAGTAGAAGTATGAAGCCAATATTCTGGAAGTGAAATGAAAGTGCAAATGATTGAATCAAGAAAGGACTGAAACTCAGAAGGTCATATCGAGGAACATATAATGCAGAATTTAGCATTAAAGGATTAGTTTTTAGTTTATGCAAAGCAGTTGGGATGCACTGTCATATTAGACCTGCCTGATACAGCTAAGCCCTTGGTACCCTTGGTATAATGATGAAAGTAAGCAAGTTAGTCTAAAGTATTTCCTCACCTCCACTTTATCCCAGGGCGATTTAGTCATTAGAAACCCCTGGCACACTGCCAAAGACTTACGAAAACATTTGAAAACTGAAAAAAAAGTATAGGCTTCAAAATATGAAAAAACTATAAAACTGAAATTAATAACATTCTGTCAACTTCATTAACTTCAAATTTAGTATTCATAAAACTGTCATTGACCCTTAAAAATAATTTGTTAATTAGATTTTCTCACTTCAAAACAAAAAAAACTCATAGTTGGCTAAGCGTCCAACTTCGGCGCAGGTCATGATCTCACGGTTTGTCAGTTCGACCCCGCATTGGGCTCTGTGCTGACAGCTCAGAGCCTGGAGCCCGCTTCAGATTCTGTGTCTCCCTCTCTCTCTGCCCCTCCCCTACTCATGCTCTTTCTCTCTCTCTCTCTCAAAAATAATTAAACATTAAAAATACCTCATGATATGCACAGTGATTTGCCAGGAATCATATCATAGCTAAATAATTGACTAGCAAAATAATTTTAAATAAACAACATAATTCCTTCAAATTACAGCTGTGTGTGTGTGTGTGTGTGTGTGTGTGTGTGTGTATGTGTGTGTGTGTGTAAAATGTGATGATATGGTGCATCCTAAAATGTCTGTTGTGATGTTGAAGATGTGTGGAAAGTGAGAGGTGTAGGACATCTTACTCTTTAAAAATACCTGCTTTCTGTTCCCTCTCACAAGGAAGCCATGTGTCTCAGTTGTCCCTTGTGTCATTTATACCTTCCCCAAATTGGGAAACCCATTCACTTCAGTATGCTGGTTCCTACAGTTAGGAAAGTCTTTCTTTCCCTGATTGAGAAATAGAAATCTTTTGTCTCCAAAAAAAGAAATTTTGGAGAGAAATATGGGAGCCTTCTCCACCCCACCTTGAACTCATATTATGCGTAAGAAAAACACAGAAACTAAAATCCCTTTAGTTGCTTTTAGGATATATGAGAGGATTGGTTCCTGGATCACAAAAGACAACACATAGCATCCAGATAATCTAAAATGTCTGCCAAAATCTGTCCCTTACTCTTCAATAGGAGACCCAGAAAGTCCGAGGTACTCCTAATTGTGCTAACACCCTTGCCTGCACATCCCGTCTCCAACTTGCAACTTCAAGTTATGATGTTTGTAACAAGGCAAACAATCTGCCTTGCAGCCCCATGGCTCAGAAGAGTCCAAGAGTAGAAAAGATAGTTAAGAGAAATCAAGTACTAAATAATGTGAGCTTTTGGCATAGAATCCTTAATCCTTGGCTTTTCATGTATTATTGTCTTTGTGTCTTTGTGAGATATTGATTGAATAATATGCAATATGGGAGAAATAGCGTAGACATTTTTGAGCCAGAAAGAACCTTAGTGTTGACGTTGATGTGCCTTAGAAATATTGATGAATTCAGTACTTCCTATGAACCATACAACTTCTACATTTAAATGCCACTGGAACCCATTCAATTCACTGAGCAAAAATATAGTGGGAGCTTTGGGTTAATACTCTGATTCTTGCCTCTACTCAGCTCCTCCTAGTTATTTGTGTTGCATTGGAAAGGTATTTTGTGTCCTGATGTCTAACATTCAGGTCCCCAAGCCTAATATGGACTGCCTGACTCCAGATGTAATTTTCAGCAATATTAATTGACTAGAGAATATTTATTATTATGGCAGTAGGACCCAACCAGCTTGACAGCTGCTCCTTCTGTGTGACTGATCGCCTTCTAAGTGCTGTATTAACAGTCTTGGATCATTGACCAATTTAATTTGAATGCAGTTAATTATACAAATGTGAGCTCTTCACATTTACTTTCATTAAAATTATATCACAACAAAAAGAAAATAGATATAAATCAAGCCACATGCCCTTGCTTCAAGTATGAGTCAATTCTGGTTCAACTTCCCTTTATCATACATTTAAAAATTCCTAAGGTTCACACACATCTGGGAGTTCTGATCATGTGACCTTTTTGTCTAAAAAACTTGGGTACCCCTACAGTTCCATGACCTATTCCATGATCTCTACAGTTCTATTTTGTACCCCAAACAGAAATGTAAATGTGGATCTCTTATGCCTAAATATTCAATTATATTGTTTTGGAGATTTTTTCTTTTTTCTCCTTTTTAAATAGGAATTTACTGACTGAAAATGGCAGAAAAAATCTTAGAGAAGTTAGATATTCTGGATGAGCAGGCAAAGATGCTCTTGGCCAGAAGAGCAAAGGTTTGTAAATAAAAGCTAAAATAAAATTTAATCATTAAAATGTTATTTCAAATGTGAATGATTATCTTTATTTTTTAGTTAATGATGCAGTAGTATGGAGTTGTAAACTAATTTGTAAAAAGCAAATCATTATATTCAAAAAGTCATCTAGGTAAGTGTATACTATAAGGAATTAATTAGATATACAAGGTAACTTCTGGATAGCTGCCACATTATATTAGGATATAATGTATCTAAGGTGATTAAGATAAAAAATTAAATAAGCAGTCAAATAGTAAATGTGACTACTCCTATAGTTCTCATTAATATGTTAAACATATAAAAAGTTATTTAATTGGTTTATTAAAAGGAAGAAAATATTTGGTATAGTTACCAAATTAAAAGTAAAGGTCATAAAAATTAAATAACATGAGACTTTTTAAAAATTCAATATAAAATGTTAATAAAGAATATAATTTTCAAAAACTAGATTTTTAGCACATATGAGCAATTTAATTTGGTTACACAAAGACTTGCAAAATAATTTAACAATGTGGATAAATGAGGCATGAAGAGCATAGAGTCTCAGAAATCAAGGAAGACAGCACAAAGAGGAACTCTGAAGTGACTGAACATATTTGTGAACCTGAAAATGAAAACGTTAATGCTTGAATAATAACCTTTCTCTTTTTTTCATAACTGTCTCCTTTTATTAAAAAAAAAAAAAAGAGAAATATTGGGAAAAACCAATAAATTCTTTCTGTCATTGCTACCCAAATTTTGAAATAGCAAACCAGGAGTAACTTACTAATGCAACCATATTAGACTTAAGCACCCCAAAGTTCACTCCTTTTTAATTTTCTTGCTTAAAATGAAATGTATTTTAGAAAATATAATCAGAGATAAATCTTTGTAGTTTGTCCTGAAATTTCCTTTTATATGAATTTTAAGTTATGATTAGTAATAATAATTTTTACCTTTTTTACTAGGGTCTTCTTTTGTGTAAACCATTTCCATAAATATTCTCATTTTGTGTTACTATGTCTAGTTCATGTGTTACTAATAGAGGATTTTCTGGAAATTCTTTTTAAGTATATACAATCAAATTTAAATTTTTTCTTATTTTTAATGTTATTTATTTATTATTTTTATTTTAGAGAGAGAGAGCATGAGCGGGGGTGGGGGCAGAGGGAGAGAGAGAGAGAGAGAGAGAGAGAGAGAGAGAGAATCTTAGGCAGGCTCCTTGCTGAGCATGGAGCCTAATGTGGGCTCAATCCCATGACCCTAGGAGCAGTTTTAAATATATACATATTTATATATATAAATTATGCTTAAAGGAAATTACATAAAGAAAAATTGTCTTTGGCCTCCTCAACTGCTTCCTTGAGGCAAACAAAATTTACCAATTTGGGTTTATCCGTCCACATCTTCTTTTGTGCTGTTACAAAGATATACAAATATTATCTATGTATGCATAAACCCATTTATCTTTACATATACTCACAATATAAATATACAGGTACACATACACATACATACACCTACATACATTTACGAAGGTGAATTGTCTCTATTTTCTTTTTTAACGACCAAAAAATGAGATGAAAATATATAAATCACTTTGGTAATTGCTTCTTTATTTTTTTTTAACTTTTATATTTTGAAATTAATATCAAGTCATAGGAAGTTGCAGAGGTACTACAGAGTCCCATGTCCCTTTCACCCAGTTGCCCCCAGTAGTGACATCTTATATGGGTAGTGTACAATATCAGAACCAGTATGAATCCCAACCCATATTAACATTGGCATATTACCATTAACCAGACTACAAATTTCATTTAGTTTTCACCATTTTTAAACCTGCCTTCATTTGTGTGTATAGGTTTATCAATTTTATCCCATAAGAGATTTGTGTAATCACTACCACAATCAAGATACAGCACGTACACATCAGCATGAAAGAACTCCCTCATGTTATTTTTCTGTATTTGTATCCATATCCGCACTTCATTCCCCATCTATCCCTGGCAATGGCTAATCTGTTCTCCAATCTTTAAAATTCAGTAATTTTGAGAATGTTATATAAATGGAACCATTCAGTATGTGAAATTTTGAGATTGACTTTTCACTAAGCATAATGCCCTTGAGGCCCTTTTAAGATTTTGCATGAATCAATAGCCTTATTATTATAAATAATGTATAAATTTTGTTGCTGAGTAGTATGCCATTATATGAATACACAGAGTTTCAACCACTCACCCATTGAAGGACGTTTGGGTTTTTTTCAGTATTTTGCTTTTAAAAATAAAGCTGCTTTTAAAAAAAAGATTAAAGAGAGCTGCTGTGAATATTTGTGTACGGGTTTTTGTGTGAGCGTAAGTTTTCATTTCTCTGGGGTAAATGCCCAAGAATGTAATTGTTGGTGCAATTTCCATCTCTTAAACACAACAAGGTCAAGGCCACAAGGTTTGATGTGAGTTCCCCCTCACTGCTTCTCAGCCAGGAAACTACCTTCAATAAGCAAGCTGAGCCATTGTGGGATTTACCTCATTTGTTTCCCTTTTCTCAGGGATTATGGTTCCCCCTCTGCCTGTTCTCTAATGCCTGATTACAGTTGTTTTGTCTGGGTTTCTAGTTGTTTACAGCAGGAGGGCAACTCCTGTAGCGCTTAATCCTTTCCTGGCAGAAGCAGAAGTTCCTATCCTTTGACTTGCTGTCAAGTTTTTCATCACTTTATTCCTCTGGGCAATGCTGAGAGAATTTTTTAGAAAAGATTTCTGGCTCCTTAACTAACTTGTTAGCTATATCCTTTTCCCTCTTCAGTCCATCTATATAAATATTTGAACAAAGTCTTTTGATTGCTTTCTTCACTTCATTTCTGGCTTACGCAACTAGACAAATGTTGGAGTGATTCACCACGTGCATGGGGACAGCAAGAGCAGCAGGTTAGAGATCAACTTGCTCTCCTTCCAATAACTCTATGTATCAGTGTTTTCTTTGTGTAATATATAGGTCACTCTTAAATTCTGAATTTTAGAATTAGGAGGGAGCCTTCATGATCATCTAGTCCAACATCCTATCATTTCATTAATAGGAAAAGAGTAGCTCAGGTCACACAGCAATGGTATAAAAAAATGTTGGTACACAGGCCCCCCAGCTTTTAATCTGTAATATTTTGCTATTAGTGACTGGCACATAAATTCTGTGTGAGTGCATAAAGTGAGACTAATTTCATCCTTTCCATACAGGATTTTTCCTATATGAAAAGTGCTCATTTTTTTTTCAGTGTTGTACTTTGGATTTATTGCAGAAAAACAGACTTCAGAGTCAAGTAAAGAAAAAGACTTTGGTTACACCACTGACATTTGATTTTCAGTTGGAATTTGAAGAGGCTATTGCTCCATCCACATCTAAGAACATATCCAGGAGCACAGAAGACAAGTCATTTGGTATTAAAGAACCAAAAAGGTAACCATCCTAATTACCTCAAACTTTCAGTTGGACGTTTTTTGTTTGTTTGTTTTTAAATTTTTTTTTAACGTTTATTTATTTTTGAGACAGAGAGAGACAGAGCATGAGCAGGGGAGGGGCAGAGAGAGAGGGAGACACAGAATCGGAAGCAGGCTCCAGGCTCTGAGCCATCAGCCCAGAGCCCGATGCGGGGCTCGAACTCACGGACCGTGAGATCGTGACCTGAGCTGAAGTCGGAGGCTTAACCGACTGAGCCACCCAGGCGCCCCTTAGTTGGACGTTTTAAAGCATTACTGTAGATTTGTTTTAGATTATGTAATCTGTATTAAATGTAAGCTTTGTCAAACATAGGCATGTTTCATAGTGCTTATGAGTGACACCATACTCATTCAGCATTCTGAATAAATTAGTTTATAAAATATTTATTGTAGTTTATTATTACAGGTGTTATTAGATAGTAATTACAATTCTGGATTTTTAAAGAAAGACTTGTCTTGAATTCTATTACATTGCCCCAGATTAATGTCAGGATTTATTTCAAATTTTAGACCAACAGACTGCCAAAAGAAGTCCACCTAGAAAACCAAGTAAGGCAGTTTCTCTATGTACTTATAAGAGATAGCCTGAATATGTCATAGTTGGTCTTTCACTGGCATTGTGGACAGGCATAATGCTATATAATTTTTCTAGTCATCAGAAATGTAGAGGAGAGCCCAGACAAAAGAAATAGTCAGATGTAGAATCAATAGAACTTCTATCGTACCTTGATGGTAGTGTGGACACTGTTCTTACCTCATTTATTCTGTGTAAACACTCAGTGTGTTCAGTGCAGTTTTATAGATGAGAAGCCCATCTCAGTGGGGTTAGATAACTTGCCCAAGGTCACACAGGTAAGTGGCTCAAACTGGATTTAAACTCTAGCGGTTCGATTTCAGACTTGTGCTCTTTATCACTCATGCAACTGGATGAATGTTGGATGGCAAATTTATCACTACCCCATTCTGAATGTAGAATGGCTTGCAGCTTTCGGGCTTGGTTACTAAGTGCATTATGACATTTTGTACTTAGGTAGAGAATATATGATGAAACACAGATTGGGGTAGAGAAGAGGATTACAGTGATAAGGTCTGAGTTTCATTTTGGATATATTAAGTTTTAGATGTCTGTGGGGCATTGAGGAGGGGGCATTCTTCTTCTAGGAAGCAACCCATTCTTGGCAGGAAGTCCTTTTTAGCTGTAACAGAATGATTGCTTAAGTAACAGAGCATAAGGCAGAACGTTTCTGTCCTCATATCAACAATGATATCCTGGTTATATGGGTTATATTGGATAAACTCAGTTCCTCTGTATCTGAAGATACAGTTCCTGGTAAGTTTTGTTAATTATAATTCAGGAGGCCAGTCTCTACCAGTGCTCTTAAGCCTCACTCCTACACTGAGTTGTGATGGCAGATACACTTCACACAGCTGATTCCTGTGAACACTAATGACAGAGATGCACTGCTCTAGCTCAGTGGGTCTCAAACGTGGAGGGCTCCTTAAAACACAGAGTGCTGGACTGCACCTGCAGAGTTTTTGATTTAATATTTTTGATTCAGTAGGTCTGGGTGGGGCCTGACAATTTGTACATCTAATAAGTTTCCAGGTAATGCTGGTGCTGCTGGTCCAGGGACCATCCTTTGAGTCTCTGCTCTAGCTTATGTCCTGCTGATCTAGCTGCCCAACACCAACATCTGTTCATTCCAGTTTTCTTCCATAGTTTGCTGAATATCATAGTGCCTCTCAGCCCGGTGCTGTGATCACCTAATTGATGTAAACCTTCCCAGGTTTATTTGTAGCTGTGCTTTGCCTTCAGACTAGTAGTTTTCAACCCACGTGCACATTAGTATTACTTGGGGAGCTTTAAAATAATTGGATTCTACTTTAATTAGTTTGGAGTAGACCCCAGGCATTACTATTTTTAAGATTCCCCAAAAGATTCTTACATAAAACGAAGAATGAGAACTATTCAAATTCTTAGGGCTTTTTTTCTCAGTTACTCCCAGAGACATGTTTCCCATGTAACTATCAGTTCAGGATTTCAGCATTTTTCTGGGATAAATGGGAACCGATAAAATATTAAAGATATCTTTCAGCTAATCTGTGTATAGTCTCTAAGATTTCTCATTAAACACCAAATATACTCTTCTCTGCAACTTTTCATAAATGGACCTTTTACAAAAGAGTCATATTCATTTTAGCAAAATTCCCTTTTAAAAATTACCTGGAATAAAGATAAAGTGGGGCACCTGGATGGCTCAGTTGTTTGTGTGCAACTCTTGGTGTCAGCTCAGGTTATGATCCTGAGATTCATGGGATCAAGCACCCAGTGCTGACAGTGCAAGACCTCTGTGCTGACAGTGCAAGACCGCCTTTGGATTCTCTCTCTCCCTCTCTCTCTCTGCCCCTCCTCCAGTGGTGAGTGAGCACTCCCTCTCTTTCTCTCTCTCCTTTAAAAAAATAAAGGAAAGACAAAGTGATTTCTCTACTACTTAAGCATTTAGTGCTGCATTATCAGTTGAAAATGGCAATTTTACTACTTATAAAGTGGTAAGAAATAGAAAACAAGTTAGGAATAAGGAGGTTGATTAAGGGTATTTAAATTGTCACTGAAAGTTAGCTCAGTAAATAATTCAAAGCTACTGAAGTTACAAAAAATAATATTTTTCTTTTTTTTAACGTTTATTTATTTATTTTGAGAGAGAGAGCAAAAGCAGGGGAGGGGCAGAGAGAGAGGGAGAAAGAGAATCCCAAGCAGGATTCTCTCAGTGTGGAAGCTGATACAGGGTTCAAACTCAAAAATGGTGAGATCATGACCTGAGCCAAAATCAAGAGTTAGACAGTTAACTGACAGAGCCATTTAGGCTCCCCAAAAATATTTCCCTTTAGATGAATAGATTAATAGGGACTATTCATTAGAAGAATTATTGTCCTAAAAATAAATCTATAATGAGACCTGTCAAAAGAATATTCTTTTTAGAAATAGTTTTATGACAATAGGATAAACTTGCATACAGAAAAGATAGTTAAATATTAATGAAGGATTTTCTTGCAGCCTATAGTGAAATTTAATTGGCCACATTCCTTCTTCCTTTAGTTCAATATGCATGTCTTATACTCTGTGTGACATTAGACTGGCACAGAGATTAAGAGGATGAGGTTTATAGGCCAGTTGCCAGGTTTGTATCTTAGCTTTACTTACTACTAATTGTGACCTTGGACAAGTTACATAACCTTTTGTGTCTCAGTATCCTCATATTTACAGTGTGGATAATAATAGTATGTATTCCATAAGGTTGTTTTGCAAATTAAATGTATTGACATGTGTGAAGAGTTTAAAATTCCCCAACATACAATAGTCACTCAGAAAAAAACAAAACAAAAACAAAACCCAGCAATAAAAATATAAACTGTATTAAACATAAGGGAAGGGAAGGAAAAATAAGATAAAAACAGACAGGCAAACCATAAGAGACTCTTAAATACAGAGAACAAACCAAGGATTTCTGGAGGGGTATTGGGTGGGGGATGGGCACTTGTGATGAGCATTGGATGTTATATATTAATGATGAATCACTGGGTTCTACTCCCAAAACCAATACTGAAATAAATAAATAAATAAATAAATAAATAAATAAATAA